ATAAAGAAGAGAGTTCACAGAAAAAGCAGCGAGGGAAAGATGCTACAATAGCAGCGTTGGCCTATGGAAGGCAGGATTGTGAGCGATTTCTTGCGTATTTGCTTTTCTTTTTCACAATTTCCTCTCCAAAGTTTTCACCATAGAGATATATCACATCGATTAGCAGAAAGAAATATCGTTAAAAAGTGAGAGGAATACAAAACATTGCAGATGTGTGCTCAGACCTAAAGAGGACATTTTTTATGGGGGATTTGAATTCAATCTGAATTCAACTGTTCCCCAGGTTTGCATTACCTTGTAAAAAATGCAGAGGATTTCATGAGCACTTTGGCCACTTTCCCCTTGTTTTCTAGGTGAGGAAGGTAAAAAATGAGCATGGTAAGGGAGGTGCAGGGAGGCCACCAATTTGCTTATCCATCCAAGGCCCCTGGCTCTCTCCAGCCGGCTGGTATTTTCACAGAAATCTCTTTAAAGATGGAGGTAATTTTTTTCCAACATGAAAACTGTTGGAAAACAAAGCTGTTATAATATAAGCACCATGAAGTACCACCCAGCCATAAAAAACAACATTGGTGCACTAATACCTCTTGAGATTAACCTGGATGGAACTGGAGATCATTCTTCTAAGTGAAGTATCACAAGAATGGAAAAACAAACACCACATGTTCTCACTATTAAATTGGAACTAATGGATCAACACTTACGTGCCCATTTGGAAGTAACATTCATAGAAATCAAGCAGGTGGGGGGATGGGCACACCTGTAACTTTGACTCAAATGGTACAAAAGAAATTTATGTAACCAAAATGTTTGTATTCTGAAATAATAAAATAAAATAAAATAAATTTAAAAGAGAAAAAGATATATAAGCAGCAAAGGAGGGCAGTGGGCACAGAGTGGTCAACCCCTCAGGTAAGAATGTGCTCTGCCAGGGGGTGTCAGAGAGTGACCCAGAGCCTGGAGTCACCTCCCAGGGTGGCTCCCTGCAGGACCAGGAGCTTAGAGCACAGCCTCCTTGGTAACCAGCAGCCGTATGCAGTATACTCAGACTCAGTGCTAAAAATAAGGCAGTGCTATATATACAGTCTTGAGTCACTAGGAAACACTAAAAATAGGACTGTGCAAATGGCTTTCGATGTGAAGAGTATTAATTTTGTTTCCTAGCTCTTACAAACAAATCAGAGTCCCTGGGTTATGGGCCATCATTTTCCAATTTTCTCCTATCATCACTTTCTCTCCTGCTGGTGGATGGGCACACGCATGTACACACACAATTCTGCATGCACACATATGTTGACACGTGCACACACATAAATGTGACTCCATTGCACACATTCTGCTCCAGAGAACCCACTCTAGGCTTTGCAAACGATCTCACCCAGCGCTGCCTCATCACCTTGCCCCTGTGTGTGCAAACACATCTCCTTGGCCCTTCGCGCCCAGAACACTCTTGGAAGCCCCGGCTCCACCGGGGGAAGTTCTTGGAAGCAAACGTACAACTTAGAGTGTAAAGACAAGTGTCCCTGGTCTCACATACTGGATTTGGGTCCTGGAAAGTTTACTTATTCTCTTTCCATTATAGTTTCCCAGTTCCTTTTTCTTTGAAGTAGTCTAACAAAACACTTGCCAGGTAAGTCTCCAGCCAATGTTAACTTGTGCTAAGTATTACTTTTACTTCCCAGTGGCCTTCTGGATGTCTCCAACTGAAAGTCCCACCAGTAATCCAAATGTCCTGTATCCAAAAAAGGAGTAAGCCATCCCCTCCCCAAAGGTGTGTTTCCTACAAGCAGAAAGTGCAACCCAGCTTCCTGGGCAGGCGAGCCTCCCAACATTCCCCGGATCCAGCCTGTTACCAAACCCAACCTTCCACCCCTTCTCCTTCACGTTGGTTTTCTCCCATCCATTCCCCAAGTCCCTGTTTCTAGTTTTGGCCAAAATCACCTCCAGCCTCTTCCAACTTTCTGTCATCTTCTTTATGCTGCCACCAAGTAGAATCTCAGCTTTAACCACACAATTTCCTAATTTAAAAATTATCAAATATCATCCAAACACCGCGGCGCATAATCTTTTATGACCTGGACTTGAAGGAGCAGAAACGGAAGGGGACGTCACTTTCTCCCACTTTCCGCTCCTGGTTCGTCACCCACGCTCCTCCTCCTCCACCACTTACTCATGTCCCCACTACTTGCTCTTCAGCGCTCATCTCCAGCTTCCTCGCCGCTATAAAATCCACACAGTCCTCAAACAAATTCCTTTTATTCCTTTTTGGAATTTCAGAAGCACTTTATAGTCTATTTGTATTTTTCTCATCTTTTCCCTGTACCGACCTCTACCTGTTATTCCAGACACACACACGTAAACGTCTCTCCTCTTGAATGGTAGATCATTAGTGGATCCACTCACTTATCCCTTCCACACACACCGCATGTCTATCTAATGCTAGGAATTGTGCCGGGTGCAAGAGATGCAAAGGTGTGCAAAGCAGACGGGGTCCATCGCTCTGGGGGAACTCGCGTTAGTAAGCAATAATATCAGCACAGGGCTATCCGAGCTGGAATGAGAAGGGCATCGACCGGGGAGAGCTCCCCAAAGACACCCCCATTCTAGAATGTGCCAGTGCTACTGACCTGAGACCTGCGGGAGAGGCGAACAGAGTTGGAAGAGAGAGAGAACAGCATGCATGGAGGTCCAGAGAGTCGGGGGTTCACTACACGGGAAGTCCCGTGAAGGCCCTGGCTTCCCCCCATTCCCTCTTTGTGACTAGAACCCTGTTTGTACACTCTGTTAAATACCATAAATGCTCATAAGTATTGGTTGCATGAAAAAAAATGAATCAATCTACTCGTCTCTCATTTTTAGTCTAGATTAAACTCCAATCTGACCCTATCCCATTGTATGATCTATTATTATCAAGGTGCTCTAGGCCTGATGCAGTGGCTCACGCCTGTAATCCTAGCACTCTGGGAGGCCGAGGTGGGAGGATCACTTGAGTTCAGGAGTTCGAGACCAGCCTGAGCAAGAGCGAGACCATGTCTCTACCAACAACAGAAAATAATTAGCTGGGTATGGTAGCTCACACCTGGAATCCCAGCTGCTTGAAAGGCTGAGGCAGGAGGATCTCTTGAGCCCAGGAGTTTGAGGTTGCTGTGGGCTAGGCTGACGCCACGGCACTATAGCTGGGCAACAGAGCAAAACTCTGACTGAAAAAAAAAAAAAGAAAGAAAGAAAGAAAAAAGATGTTCTACCAGTGACCAATAGAACACCATCTTTCAGCAAGCCACTAAGACCAGCTGGTGGAGATGGAAGCCCGCTCTTGCATGCCTGGGATACCTGCAGTGGGTGCTCAGCCTTGCCCCATGGGCTACAGGTGGGGCTCCGTCCTGTGAGCAGCAGCTTCAGGAATCTGCAACGCTCTCCCCAGTAAGGGAGAAATGCGCCTCCTCCCACAGCTTCCCTATCTGCGAAGGCTGGCATGGCTCTTCTAGCAGACCTGGCCCCAAACACGCTCTCTTTGGTGAGCCCCCTGATCCCAGCAGGGGTCCCTCCCTCCTCCTGGTCCCCATTCTCCAGCCTTTCTCTTGACCCCTAATGCTCACCAGTGACAAGGAACAGGCGCAGTGGGAATGTGGGTGCAAAGAAGGAAAAAGTTTAGGAGACGACATTCCAGATAAATGCATAAAAGGGCTGGGGGGGGGGGAATCATGAGAACCAAAATCGAAATCGCTAACATCAAGCTTCACAAACAAGGAGAGGCAAAACATGAAGGCCAATTTCTGGACGATTTTGGAGCAGGGAAGATGAGCATTCAAGACCTGGGTCATGAAAACACTTGCTTTCTTGCACCGCTCTGTTTCGGCTACGGGACAAGACGAGCGAGTGTGGTAGGAGAAACCGTCTCTGAGGGGGAAAGCCTCCAAGTCAGGAGGGAGAAGGGGGAGGAGCTAAGAAATCTCAGAAGCAGAATCAGTGAAATTCAAATGAATGAAAAACATCACGAAAGCAGGCAGAGGTTCAACAAAGAACGGAGACGAGGCATGCCTATTTCACCTGAATTAAATCTACGGAGAGAGTGAGACCTTTTAGCAAGCGCTGCGGCTTTTGCTTAAATAGCAAGACAGCACAGCCTCAAGGCTCCTGCAGACGGAGGACAGGCCTCGGGAAGAAACAGTGCCACCCAGTGGCCCTGCCACTTGCTTGCCATGAGAACTGGGGAGGATTTCCAGCAGCCCTGGGAACTGGAAGCAATTCTGGCTTCAGTGACAAGCAAGCATGATTCCGCTTCTACCCTCCGACAAGGACGTGGCCTTGCTCCTGCTAGGTTTAGTTTGAGAACCAGGAAAGGCGACAGTCTGTACATGTTCCCTTAAGAAGAAGCAGGCGGGTGGTCAGCATGCAGGCTTCATTACTGGGAATATCATCCCGAGTCTGAAAAGGCCACAGAGAGACAAGCGTTGTTTGGTAGCTTTCTCAAGGACTCCAGGGGAGTGGAGAGAGTTCTAGGTATCCCCTTAGAGCGCCTGGAGGCCAGAAATAAAGTCGTGCCCAGAGCTGCTACTTTTGTCCATTTCACCATCCTGCTTCCACGACACGCTGCACCTGCGGCTCGACGACTCGAGAATGAAAATTCAGTCTGCACACGTGTTCTTGTCCTGCTGAAACACTGCAGCCCCTTTGGGCAGATTTCTAGCCTTTCGAAGCTGTAAGCCTCATTTTCTTCACCTGTAAAATAAGAATTACAGCCCCTGTGCCTTGTGCCTTGTGGGGATGAAATGAGATGCAGCATGGGAACCACCTGGCCCACGTCCCAGAAGGTTCCCAAATGCTCCTGCTTCTGGGGGTCACTGCTGCAACTGTTTTCTTACTGGTATAAGATAAGTGGAAACCCCAGTCAGCCCTCTAAAATGATAGATTCTCAGCAGTCTAACCAGTTTGGTAATGTAAACATTCAAAGAGAAGGGGAAGAATAATAAGAAAGCAGCGTTTTAGCAAACACCCCTTACCCTTGCAACTGTGTCGTCCCGAGCACCCTCTCGGGAGTGTGCGTCACTTCTCATTGGAAAGTTAGTAGATGTGCAGAGTTCGTGCAAAATTCTTCCTGCTCCTCCTTCTCTCCTCTTCAGAATGAACAAGTACAGGAAGTGTGCCGAGATGCCCGCACAGGGACAGTTCTTATATAACCATGTGATTCTCAAATTGGTTCTTGTCCCTTCCCATTGGAAAGGTTTTGACAGTCTTCCTACACAGACAAAATGCCATCCCCAGAATTAGAATCCCACGCCACGAAGCCAGCTCCTGGCGTATAAATTACTTCCTTGCAGACATGAAACAAACATGTACGAGTCTGGACATCGTGATCACACCTCCTCTCCCCAGGTCACATCACACCGAGTTCAGAATTACAGAGGGCAGCTGGACAAATGGTGACCACTTGGGAAAAAAATGGGAAACGAAATAAAAAGTATTGCAAACGGCACCCTGTCTCAGCAAAAGGGATAAAAATAGAAGGCAGCTGACTTTACATGTAGCTGTTCAATGGCTATCAAAAGCAGGACCAGCAGGAAGCAGGTCCGGGTCTCTGAACTGGCCAGTCCTTCACCCGCTTGCCTGCACCCCAGAACAGCCAGCACTGTTCTCCAGTCTTCCTTGACATGATGCCACTAAGGGCTAACTCACAAGTCCAGGCAGCTATGGGAAATCATAAGGGGAAAGTGCTAGATGCTCACAACTACCCATTATAGGTGCGGGAACCCCACAGCTGCTCAGCCCATGCTGACCTGGCACTGCCGCGCCTAAGTCCAAGGCACCGTCAAAGGTTATTAAATGATGAAGTTATCTGACTAAAAAGTGCTTCTGTTGCACACAGTAAAACTGATTTAATGTCTGTTATGGTTTTGAGCCCCACTCACCTCTGAAAACCCTCACAGGAGCAAGCACCTATGACACACTGCACCCATAAGGACAGGCTTTGCCATGTGCCTGCATGCGAGTCCCTGAGTAGCAAAACTGCAGTGGAAAAAAAAATCATCTCTTTCTTCATTAGAGAGGCATATTAAAGTCCTGCCCTGCTAAGAACTCTTAAGAAAATTCTCTAGAATGCATGGACTTTGGGACATGCTACCCTCTGGACTAGCTGTTTTTGAATTTCTACTCTCTGACCCACCTGGTTATGGTCAAATGGAGAAGTCTCAGTCATCTGGGGCAGGGGGCTTAATGTATTCCCTGGACTCATGTCAGCCATCAGATCCAAATGGCAGTATCTACAGTAAGAATTTATTAAAATCTGCTCAGTGCCAGACGTCTGTTACCGCGTTGATCTCCACAACAAGCCTAGGTAGGAGCAACAGTTACTGCTACATGCAACTTACTGATGGGGCATAGGAAGGTTAGGTAAACTGTCCAAGGTCACAAAGCCAATGAGCAACGGAGCTGGGCTGCGAAACCAGGCAGTCTGGCCTCAGAGGCTGCGCTTGTAAAAGCTATGCTGTATTAGTCTCAAAACTGATGCACTTTTATGTCACAAGTCCCTCGGATTTCCTTGTCCTTGTCCACTGTGCATCACTGCCCCTGTTAGATGGTGCCACTTTGCTTGAAAGTCTCTTGGCAAAGAGAGGAGGCCATGAGAGTCTGCATGATACACTGAGAGGTGAATGACTGACACTGTTTAACAAGTTGTCTCCTTCTATAGCAGCCATATTTTAAAGGGAACTAAATTCCTGTGGATTTTAACCTAAAAACAGAAGGAGGAAGATTCGGGTCAGGGAAGGGTTCTCCTGAAACTTTTAAAATCACCCCACATAGGAGGCTAAGTACTCCCCCTTCTCAGGCACGTGAGAGCTGTCCTTTATATTCAATACAAGCACCACCAGCCTGCGGGTTCCTAACACACATGCCTTGGTCAGGAGCGCCCCCTAGCGACCAGAAAACAGATTCAACTCTAACAGGAGATCAATGTCCCCTCCTTGGGCACAGCAAAGGATGCCCAATAGGAATGTGGAGTTCGGAAAACCGGGAGTAGAAGAAACCTGGCTCCTCACCCGGTCCTCAGTAACCATGCCCGAGAAATTCTGTCTGGAGCTAAAATGAATGACAGCAAAAAATACAAGATGAGAACAAAGCTCAAGTATCGTCATGGTGATAAACCCTAGTTCATTTGTTTTCAAAAGTTTCCCTTTAAAATATTTCCTTTACAAATATCAAACTGTTTTAAAAGCCCAATTATCCGCATGTCCCCTCTTCAGATGGCGTCCACAGCGGGCTGAGGGTGCTCCTGAAACGGGACTGTTCCCCAGCTCTCACTACTCCTCCGTGCTGCGGCAAGAAGGGAGTAACATACCACGCATGTAAGTCACCAGACAGATGGAAAAGGCGGTGACAGCACATGCACATGCCCTGCAGCAGTGGTAAAGAATGGGGCCGGTTCCCGACCTCTGGCGGTGAGGGCACATGGCAGGGCTGCCCCTACAGGCCCCCTGCACCTGCGTGAGACCTTTCCCAGTGCAGCCAGACAGCAAAGGTGGGCCAGGGAAGGAAAGATCTGCGAGTACCGTAAGCAGGACTTCTTGATCTCTCCGTGCCTCACTTTGCAGAAGATGACACTAAACTGAAGTGGAGATGGCCTCCTCCCTGATCAATGTGAAGAGCCCACTAGGCAGGAGGCCTGTCCCGTGATTTACTGTGCTTGGTGCAATGACAGAAAACAAAGCCTGACATCTGATTTTCTGGGTTCTATGAGAGAGCTTTCCAAGGCTAATGTTTTTCTTTTTTCTGTGCACAGCTACAACTTTAAGATAGCTACAATGTAAAACCAAAGATGAAGACAGCGCATGCCATGCATGCTTGGTGTCATTTCACCAAAAATATCCTAGAGAGGCAGCACAGTGCCAACCCTGAACACACACACGGGCGGGACGCTGGTGTTCTTCTCTGCACCTGTGACGAATGAGTCGTCTGAAAAAGATGCTCACCTGCCCATCAATAGAGTAAGCCAACAACTGCCTCAAAGTTTTTGCTTCAAGTATTGGCAGCCATATAGACTGCCCTACTTTGGCTTCTTTTCCCTTTCAAAATTCTCTTGATATTTGTTGGAGCAAGAAGGGAAATTTTAGAGATAAAGAGAAAAAAATTGTTCAAGAGACTTGCATGCTTTCTACTATTAAAACAGAAGTCTCAACAACACCTTTCAACATATAGCTCCAGAAATGGCTACTTAAATGCAAAAGTTGCAAAATGATTCTAGAAGATTCTACCTGAGAAACACATCAAGAATCAGATCAAACTTCCCCAGATAGCTCTGTACAACTTCCCACCAATGCTGGTTCACTTGGACTCCACTTACTGGCCTAGCCTCTCTGTGCTGATACTGGCACGTATTTTAATTATGTACACTTTTCATTCCCAAATACATTATTATTGCTGCTGTTTTTACAGTCAATCTTAATTCAGATTTTCCATTTCCGGTGGATTCTTTCCTGCATTTCCATGTTAAGGCAGAAAGAAAGTGCTGGATGTATAGGTTGCTATGCCCTCCTTAAAAGACTTTTAGGATGGCATAAGGAAAAATATTGGTAATGAGGGTCAGAAGATGAGATACTGGATAAAAACCCATCTGCCATGAACAGCAGGCAAATCCCTTTTAACGAGGCGGCAGTTGGGCATCTTAGGATGCTGCTAGTCCCTGAGGGCCGCTATCTTAGTCCTACAACTTCAAACTCCGCAGGCTCATCAGGGGGCTGTGATGTCATGGGGTGTCCGGGCAGCTGTCCACCAAGCGTTCAGGGACTGGTTGGGAGACCACTGCTGTGCTTTTGCGCCACCTGGTGGCTTCACTAAGGAATCTCCTGGCTAACTCAGGCCAGCATTGCCCCAAAAGAGCAAGACTGTAACTGCAAGTTATTAGGGCTGAGTTCTACAGCATTTAAGATGGAGAAAGAGGTTGTCTGATCAAAGCAAAGCGTCAAGGAGGCAGAGAATGTAAAATCTGGTTTCCAAAGAACAGGCACTTACTTGTGAGTTCACCCAGCCTGAACCCTGCCTGGGTCTTAGTCCCTGGTAATCCCTTCAGCAATGTCTCTCAAGGGTCCTTGTGTGGATGGGACTGGCTGGGGCAGCTTGACTGGTTAGAGCTTTCCTGCAGAGCACCCAGGGACCTCCTGCACTCTATGTAGCCAAAACTTACAGAATTTTAGTAAATGCATGTTTTTTAAAACAAACATTTATTGTCCTTTTGCTTTTATGACCTATCGTTTATGGGTTTTATCTGTAACTTTTTTGAAAGCAAAGCATTTGGTTTGGAACACTAGGCCAATTATTAAATCATTCATAGGGGGAAAAGTGATTCAATTTACAAAAACCTGCTTTATCCTGTGGTTTCCAGAGATGCCTTGTTGCAAAGGGGGAGGGGGTGAGCACCGAAAAAGTAGGTAACTGTCAACATTTAATGTCTTTGAGTCCCACAAATGTATTCTAGATTCTTATTAATATTATCCTTATTATTCTAAAGGACTGAATCACAGTCTCAGTGACAAATGCTTATAATACAGTCTCTGTTGGGAAGAGCACTGAAATATAACACAAGTCCACTCTACACTGAGTTCTCCTTTATCCAGAATGATTTTAGTCAATGTTCAGGGACGTAGTATTTTGCAACAAGAGAAGTAGCAAGGTAATCAGAAATTAGTGTGGGCAACTTGAATCCAGAACCAAGCTTAATCACAATATTAGACTCTCACAATAATTTCTGAATCCTAGTGCCATTTGGACTAAGATGCTTCCTTCTATGGTATGAGGACAGGGACAGAGATGGAGAAAGAAATGTATAAATATGCAGTTCACTTCATTCCCTGCCATCTGTATTTGGGGAAAAATACATTAAGATGACACCAAGCACTGCATATGTAATTATGTATAATTATACTTGTGCAACTATGCATAATTATCTTCTATCACCCAAGAAAGTAGCAAATCCTCTTAAAAATTGGAACATGAGTCTTAATTCTGAAATGATTTTGTTTCCGTTACCCGTTACTTTTCCACCTTCACATATTAGTCATTTCTCTTCTTTTAGGACAATATTAGCATGTTAAGAGAAATGTTTATAAAACTTTTCATGTTAAAGCACATTATATTGTTTAGAAATAGTTTCCTTTTAAAAAATGAGTTTATTCTCTCCCAAATCAAGCTAAAGGAAAGGAAAACAAGGCAACTACAGGGGGGGAAGCCTTTTCCCCCCTATTTTAACTATTTTAACATCTGCCTTGATTCAGAAGGAATCAGAAAGATGAACTACAGACATCTCCTTTTTAATGCTCCTCCAATAGACTAAAAAAGAGTAAAATTCACAAATAGAGAAGGTACACATTTTAAGTCAAGACAGAGACAAATTCTGAAGGGGCTCTGGCCAGGAACACAACGCTTCACAGACTTTGCACAGTTTTTGGTCATTACAATCAATAGTGTGAAGCTTACAGCTTTTCCCCTGTTCTCCAAATGAAGTCATTTTAAAAGCGGGACTCTGCCTCCCATCACCTTGAGGGAGGGACACATGCACCCTTCCTTAGGAGTTACAATAATAACATTATCCCAGACCACCCTGATCCCCTCCTCCTGCCAGGGGACCTACAAAGGCTGGTCCATTTTGAAGCTATAGAATCAGTAACTAAGGGATCTTAGAAGATTAAGCAGCTTTGTTTTAAAAACAGGTGCTTTTCTGTGTTAACAACTAATCATACAATCCATTTAGCCACTTTAGACTGAGATTTTAGAATTATTTTATCAGAAAACTATGCTCCTTGCGGCTGCTGTGCTAAGAAAGACTGTGAGGACCATCTGCCTTCTACAAGGTATTATGATTTATTATCCTTTAACAAACTGTTCCTCTTGCCTTGTTTGGAGCAAAGGCACCTTCTACTTTGGAAAACCTAAAAAGCTGCCTATAATTTCCATGATGTGTGATTCCAAAAGGGAGGAAGGGAAGTGCCATTGGCTGGGTGTACCCTTGGCTGCAGCTGCTGCTCCAGTAGCATCTCGTAGATGGTCTTGCAGGGCCCTCTAATGTCCTCGAAGTAGCAAAGTTGCTGCCCAGTCTCACAACTAAGGAAACTGATGCCCAAACAAGTTAAATGACTGACCCACTGGCTCATGCCTTGGAAATAGGAAAGCTGAAATTAAATCTAGGCCCAATGGACTCAAAAAAACGTGTCATTTAATGCTTCCTGGACATTGCCTTCTTGGGAGAGACGAAATGAGAAATAGCAATCTCCATCTTGTGAACTGAATTTTTCTTCAAAGAGATCCAAAAGACTATCCATACCTCACATTGTTCCTTAAAGTTCAGTGAGGAGTTTACCAGGCAAGATTACTCCCCTTTGGAAGGTGCGGAGAGAATTCTGCACGGGACTGCCAGCAGCATCTGGAGCTTTTGCAGCGGGACACTGATTACCTCATCAGCCAGCTCTCAGCGTTCCTGCAAGACGGTCTCTAGGTGGCGCAAAGAGCATGTGGTTCCGTTTACTGAGGCTTGTCTATTTCTGGCTGGCTGGGCATTCAAAAGTGAAAATATCTGCTTGTCAAACTTGTTGGATAATTTCCAGCATTAGAAATCATTACTAAACAGCCTTCCCAACTTCTCGACTCTCTGATGCAAGACCATGGCCTTGGAGAAGTTGCAGGGGAAGGACTAAAATTGAAAACTAAAAAAGAACCGTGGAAAAATAAAGGAAACCAACGCTCTTGATTATTCTCTGTGTTCCGGGTCTTTGCTTCTCCTAAAATGACTTTTCAAGTCCTTGGGCAGTGCTAAAGGTCTTAAAATCACATCAAATTACTTTCATTTAAAAAAAAAAAAAACTGCGTCGTTTTTCATAAAGTACTCATGAAGCAGAATATTCGCCAGACACAGAAAACTAGAATGGAGATACACCCGAGACCCAGTTGTGCAAGGAATTAACAATAATATCAGGACAGACAGAGCTGCATTTGAAAAATTATTCAGATTTTTGGCTCATGGAATACCTTGGTGATTTCAAGTAAGAACAGAGCCTGAAAATAAAGGAGATGCTTCCTACCACTCACCCCCATTCTATACACCCCTCATAAAGACTCAGAGCCCGTACCCACCAAGCGGTCATCCTCCCCACCTCTGTCCCTCCATACTGGGCACTTTGGAATCCAGCTGCCCCAAGGGGCAGAGACGCAGTGCATGTAAAGAGCTGAGGTTTGGCATTTTCCGCACAGCTTGAAAGAAACCTGGCCGTGACAGGACGTGGAAGATGACACTGCAGTAACAGGGGTACCCTAGAACTAGGCTCTCCCCCAGGACAGAGTGCCAGGATCCACTGGCAGTATTTTCAAATTGCACATGCCTTAATCTCTTCCTTGGCAATTGTCATATAACTTGAGGGTGATTTTGCAATGCTTCCCAAGTGTTTTGGTTATGCTTAGCTCACCACACGGAAGTAAAACTTGTCAGGAACTGAGGGTGAGGTAGAAAGTGAGTCCCACCTACCTTCCCTGGACTATATCTCAGGCAAAGGGGCTTTGCCAACAGGGCCACTGCCACCCGTGGGCCTTGACACTCAAGCACAGGAAATTCATCTGCTCCACTAAGCATGACACTTTTTGCTAAAATTTTTAAAAAAATCAATTCAACTAAAAGATCAAATGGAATGTTATGGTCAAAATATCAGATATGATGGTATAAAAATGATGTCAGAATACCTTTGTAAAGCAAGTTGCAAGCTGAATATTATACAATGTTCAACAGGGATTCTTATTTAAAATGTCATATTAACACTAATACTATAAAAACAATAACTTGTTGGATTATTAGTTTTATTTATTTAGTATAAAAAACACTATTGGAGAAGATTAAAAAATAGACCATCTAATTCACTGCTAGTTAAAGTGGAAATTATTCAATGTCTGTGGAAAGCAATCTGGCAATATTAAAAGCCTTGAAAATATATACCACAAAAATTACATAATAGTTCCACAAATTGATCCTAATAATGTGATCATGGATGTGCATAAATACTGGGCTGCAAAGACGTTAATTACAGACTTACTGGTAATTTCAAAACATTGACTCATTCCATAAAAGGGCTTAGTTAAATAAACTGTATTACATCCAAATAATGAAAAACTCCTTAGCAATAAAACACAATACATGTTAACTGATACGAAAATATTTTCAAAGAAAATCCCCATGGAGGACAAGGTGTCTCAGATAACACGTAAAGCGCAGCATCATTTTTGTCAAAATATGCATAAATATTAATATCTGTGTATATGTATATATACAGATATACACATAATATATAGATATTACTGTGTGTGTCTATATACATATAGACACACACATATAATGTATATATTTTTTTCAAGGAAAGAGTATTTCAAATTATAAAATAATGCCCAGCGATTTCTAGTCAACCAAGCCAAAATCTTATTCATGTTGTTTATGATGGAGGTTAAAATAGAAATTCAATTTTACACCTGCAGAATTCGATATTAGCTAAAGGTTACTCAGAAACGTGATGGTGATAAAGGTAAGAATAGAATGAAAATAGAAACAGAAACAATAGATTATATTCAGGACAAGCTGTGTTCCAATTTGCAAACTGAAAAAAAAAAAAACAACATCACAGAAATAACCAACAAGCATAAACAAACAAAGAAAGCAGGAAAAAAAAAAGAAAATAAATAAAAATCAAAGTAAACAAAAGGAAACAGACGATTGAACTGACACAGAAAAGAAATAGAAGTAATCCAATCATTAACCCAATAATAAGATCCATCCTGCAGTTGTCATCATTGTTTTTAATTCAAACAGAACTTTAAGCATCTTGTGAAGTAGATTTAATGAAGTCTAGATGCATTCCGGGCTAACTACTCTTGGTTACACTTAATCAGAACTGAATAAACAAACTCAGTATTAGTCACACTTGTGCAAGTTCTTCCATTTCACTGCGGCCAGAAGAGATTTTCATGTGATCCTGTTTAAACCAGCTGAACATCTGGAAATGTGGAAACTATTTTGTAAAGCACAAGAGGACCACACGCTCGGAGGAGACATCATTTGTGTGGCTGAGGTCAGCCTGGGGAGGTTGGGAGGGGAGATGGCTTACTTACAATGAAGCCAAGTTTCTTGTAATCCCTAGTGTACATGGACTTGCGTTTCTCCATGCTGCCGCTGCTGTTATTAGGTTCCGACTCTGCATCAAAAGCAATTCTTCGAAGTTCAAATATGATGTCCCTCTGAGCCTGAAGAAGTTAGGGAGAAAAAAAAAGGGGGGAGAGGAGTAAAAGCTTGCTTTCATTGTGTGAAGTTGCATATACTCCCTCCTTCCCCAGGGTCTAAATGAATTACAGCATGCAGGCAAAAGAAAAACAGATAAAAGAGAACCAATGTTGTAAGTTAGGGCTTTGCAGACTACATTTCCTTCTGCCACTCTCCCTGCTGGCCAGCCCTGGCTATATTCCACAGCAATCCTCTCAGCCCACTGCAGACCTAAATGAGAAGCCCAAATATAACGGCAGGGTCATCACTATGTGAAGGCTGAGCTAGAGAAACCAGGGGTAGCCGACTGTTGGAAACAAAGTAAGAGACACGCAAAGTTGGTGAACAGTGTTCGACTTACAAGGGATCCCTAAGTCCACTAATAAGTAACCTCATGGAAACAAACATAGGATCAAAATAAAAGGAAGGGCCAAAAGGCAGAAACAACCCAAGCATCCATCCGTGGGTGAGTGAACAAACAGCATGTGGGAGAGACATACAATGGCACATTACTCAGCCTTAAAAAGGAAGGAAATCCTGATGGATGCTACAACAGGGGTGAACCCTGAAAATACTATGCTGAATGAAACAAGCCAGACACAAAAAGATAAATATTATTTGATTCCATTTCATAGACAGAAAGTAGAACGGTGGTAACCAGGGCTGGGGGAAGGGGCAAGAGGGGAGCGAGTGTTTAATGGGTACAGAGTTTCAGTTTTGCAAGGCGAAAAGAGCTCTGGACATGGATGATGGTGACAGTTTCACGACAACGTGAACGTACTTAATGCCACCACTGAACTGTACGCTTAAAAATGGTTAAAAAAGTAAATATTATGTACATTTTGCCACAATATAAAAATAATAAATAAAAGGAAGGGTTTCCAAACT